TATGCGTTAGTTGTTAAGTGTTACGTACGTCCAAAACCCGGGGTGATGAAACGCGAAAAGTTAGACTTTTTAACCACTTAGGATCGTTACATAAATGAAGTGCAGAGAGAGAGATTGAGAGTTTTCAAAAATGAGTCGAGGGCACGCACAAAAGTGGCATTATAATAGCAGTATATTTTCTCTCTCCTTGGGTTTCAAACACATCTTGTTTTTGTTTGTAGTGGCTTCCCACCATTGGATTTTGGTCGGCTTTTTGGAATTTTTTTTTCGAATTTTTTTTTAAGAGAGGAAACAAACCGACCGTCACTTGCACTTAGTACATCAATATGGCCCTAAGCCTTGTTCTACGCGCTTTCTTTTGGAAATACATTGAAAGAGATATGAGGAGGCTCACATGTAAGGGGCCTCGTTTTGTAGGAATGCAGACCGACAGCAAATAAATAGATAAGTCCTTTTCTTTGATGTGAGAGAAAATTGTTGAATGAAGAGAGAGAGAGTGTGAAGACTCTAGTCTTTCTCTTTCTTTGATATTGCCGTGGGAACAATGTTTGCTTCATTTTTTGCGCAAATTCCGGCAGTCAAGTCATGACTTGGGAGAACTTTTTAAGAAAAGTTAAAGTAGAGGTGGTAACACATCCGTTCGGTCCGATGGGACCCCGATCCCAATTAGAATTGGATTTGGATTTGGACTTGGACCTAGACCCAAACAAAAAATGAGAAATATCTACATTTTTAAATATATTTAAATATATTTTATAAATTAAGACTAAAAAATATGGAACCCCCCCCCCCCCCACCTTCCCCCCCCCCCCCCCCCCCCCCCCCCCCAGTGGACCCAACCCTATGGGTCCAATTTTTAGACCCATATCTGGACCGGGGTTGGGTCTACCAATCGGTTCCGGGTCCATTACCACCCCTAAATTAAAGCATCACTATGCTTCTCAAGGGTCCACTGTTTAAGCACTTTCACTATGTGGTGATTCCAAATGATCTTTCTACTAGCTTATTTTTAGAATTTAAATTTAGGGAAATTTACACTAATATCATAGTTATTTGATAAATTCTTCCAAAAGTTGTATTCTATGTCAATACCTTCTTTTTTAAATTTCTTTTTCCAAATTGCCACATTTTGTATCTTTAAGGTTCAAAGTTTCAAGTTTTATCTTTTTTTACTTGTAAACTTACAATTTTGAAGATCTGAATTTATTTCAAATATCAACTTCAGATCTTTAAATTTCATAGTTGATGTGTGGGACCGTTTGTTAATTTTTCTTGAAACGTCAATTTTAGAACATAAAGGTCCCAAGTTGATGTTTGGAACAACTCAATGTCTGAAATAAGGAAAATTTAGAAAAATTCAAATTTTCAAAAAAGTGGTAGGATTGTAAATTCAATTTTGAGGGGATTGATGTTTTTTTGGGGAACATGAGTGTAAATTTTTCTAAATTTCAATCATTATCATTATCATAGTTTTTTTCCAATTAATCGGAGTCGGCTCCACGAATCATGGTTAACATTCTGTTTTATTAAGGGCCATTCCCTCAGAGAGGCCACAAGTCATCATATCTTTCTCGCTACTTCCATCCATGTATTTTTAGGCCATCTCTTTACCTTTTGCTAGCCTTACAATTAAACTAACTCAGACCTCCTAACATGTGTTGTATTGGGTCTGCGGCATATTTGGCCAACCCATTTAAGTCTACTCCCTCTCATTTTATTGTCTATTGGTGCTACACCTAAATTTTTTTAAATGTATTCATTTCAAATTATATCCCTTCTTGTCTTGTCACTCATCCATCTCAATATCATCATATCCACTACACTCATTTTATGGGTATATTATTTTTTGACCGCCCAATATTTTATCCCGTAGAACAAAGCTGATCTCACAGATGTCCTATAAAAACTTGCCCTTCAGCATCATTGCTAAGCGGCAATCATATAGAATTCCAGTTGTTCATCTCCACTTTGCCCACCCAACTTTAATTTTGTATGCGACATTTTCCGCAATCTCTCAATTTTCCTTGATTATCGACCCAAGATATCGAAAGTGCGGTATTTTTGGTATTTTCTGACCGTCAATCTTAATTACTTCCTTGTCTCTACTCCTATTATTATTAAACTTGCTTTCCATATACTATATCTTAGTTTGGCTAATTTTAAAACTTTTAGATTCTAGAGCATCCCTCCAAAATTTTAACTTTGTGTTGATGTCATTTCTGGTCTCATCGATCAAAACTATGTCATATGTAAACAACATGCACCACAATCCTCATACTCTAAATTTCTTTAAATTTCAATATTACTTCTAATATTTTTAGTCATATTCAAATTGTTGAAATCTTTTCTTAGTTTATTCTTAACTATTAGATTACATATATTGCATCCTGTATTTGAGTTTAAGCAAATTGGAACTTAAGGCGACATAAAAACATTCCAAATAGGATTTAGTAGACCTGGTTTCTTTGGAAAAAGGTATTGGTGGAGGGTTTACCTGCTTGGGAAGGAATGCATTGTTGAAAGTGAAGGAGACTTGGGTTAGTGAGGGCATGGAGGGGGAATTTAACTGAGTGCGAGGCTCAAGAGGATTGGACTGTATATCTTGGTTTTGATAAGGCGCGGTGGAGAGCTTTTCAATAAGAGGATGGTCTACTGTGTTGGCAACTGAGGTGGATTGTTGTTGGTCTAAATGCCAATGTAGGTGCCTTCATCATGTGAGGATTGGACCATTGGTGGTGTCATTTTGCCAGTTGGGCTGATTGAATGCCATTGTCATTGATGGAGCTGTTAATGGACCGAGCCCGACTAGGCCTGAAATTATGTAACATAGGCCCGGGCTAGCCTGGCCCCAAAAGCTTAATTTGGACCCAGCCCGAAATCTCGCCTATGTGGCTTGAATCTAGGGTGAGACTGGGTCTAGATCCACTAGGATCCGGATTCGAAAAGTATATATGGGATCCTGATTTGGATCCAATTCAATCTAGAACATTCAGAGATCCAGATCTACAAAGTACATATAGAATTAGGATCTGGATATGGACCCTATCGGATCCAAAAAAATTATTTTATATCCATAAAATAATATATACAAAAAATGCTATATATCATATATGTATATATCTTATATATAAAATAATATATAATTTTTAAAATATTTGGTCGGATCCTGATCGGGTCCACTTGTACCTACATGGATCCAAATTTTAGATTCGGATCCGACCCATCGGATCCAAATCTTGGATCCATATATGGATCCAGATAGGATCCGAAATTCAAGTTTCGGATCCAAATAGGGTAAATTCTCACCCCTACTTGATCCCGAAAAATCGGACCTCACTTTTTATAAAGGTCGGACAAAAATTTATTTTAAAAGCTTACGAAAAATTTCGGACTTGGGCTAACCCGAATTCATCTTAGAATATATGAAGTCCGAACCAAGAATGGCCAGAACCAAGGTGGAGCTGAGCCAGTCTGAAAACTCGTGGGCATCCTGGCCCATTAACATCCTAGTCACAGATCTTGGAAGACTCAAGACCTTTGGAAGGAGGTCCTGCTCAATCTCTTTTGGGGCCGAAAACAATTGGCCTCTGCACTTGAAAGTCGTCCCCTTGAGGGTTAGAGCTGATTGGGTTTAGAGGTGTTAGAATCGGAGGGGCATCAGCAAAAGTTTGGACTTATGTGAAGATGCCTCATCTCGGTGGCTTGGGCATGGACTTTGAACGGTGGAGATGTGTTCCGGGTCACATGAGTATTTATGGTCGGACAATACTTGGCAAGTTTGTCTTTGGTCTGAAGTCATTGCCGGCCCTTTTTTGTTTTAAATAAATGTCTATGTGTTTTTTTTTTCTTTTTCAAATAAATGTTAACGGTGGGAATAGAGGGCAGGACATTATGCATGGCAGTTTTGGCCATGTTTATATCGTTGGTAGCATTATGAACACCCTATGAGTGAAGCCCCAAGGTACCTGAGAATGCATTTTGTTCAAGGTTTTATTCCTACCGTTAATACTTCGAAAAAAAAGAGAAAAAAATATATTCCATGACTACGACAGTGTCTAAACAATAGGTATAGTTGTGCAAAGAAGAGAGGACAAAGGATAAGGTGCTAGAAAGGGAGTCTCGGTGCTCTAGTTGTGCCACGTGCCCTGCAAGTTGTTATGGGCTCGACTTGCTGAGCGAGTTTGACGTTATTGTTCGTTCAAAGTGTTTACTTCAAAATCTTGGGGTAGATATCTCAACTCGTGAGACACCCCTTTGTTCTTACTTTTACCTATTTTGGGATGAACGTTCTACCCAAGATAGAGTATAAGAAGAGATATACGAGAGAGGCAATTAGTAGATTCTTCGAGGGAAACTAAACCTCCTGAAGTATTGGGCACAAGATATTAATAATTATCCCTTTCTCCCTATTACAATGAGATATTTATAACTCTTTACTAACCCTCTACCACCTCCCTAATTATTCTACCCACAATCCCTATATAATAGGAATGTGGCCTGTTACAACAACTACCCAGACGTATCATGGAGACCCCATTAGAAACCGTCTACCACAACTCCTAACATTAAACAACAAACTCCTAAATACAAGTGAACAGTACTACCTAAACAACAGCTGCTTGTGCTAAGCATGAGACTTTATTGAAAAATAAACTAAGCCTAGGAACGTAACATTCCCTCCCTCTAAAATCCCCCTTGTCCTCAAGGGTATTTTCAGGAAACCTTAACTTAAGTGCCTTCAGATTCTCCCACGTGGCTTCAGAAGGTGCGAGACCCGTCCAATGTACCAGGACTTCCTCTTGATGCTTCCGAATGCGACGATCAAGAATGGCTTGCGACTGAGGTACCATGCCGTCTCCTCCTTCCTGAACAATTGGCAAATCTTTTTGAGCCACCGTTGCTGTTCCAACCTTCTCTTTAAGGCAAGACACATGAAACACATGATGGAGTTTTGAACCATTGGGCAACAAGAGTTTGTAGGCCACCTGTCCTATCTTTTGGATCACTTCACATGGTCCATAGTATCGTGGTGAGAGCATAAGATTTCTCCGAAGGGCGATCGAAACTTGGTGATAGGGTTGAAGGCGTAGATACACTAAATCCCCCACATTAAAGCTCTTCTTAGTTCGGTGAATATCGTAGGCTTTCTTCATTCGGTTCTAGGACAGTTGCAACTGTTCGCGTAGTAGCTTGAGAACTTGGTCCCGATCTTAGAGTTCTCGATCAACTGACTCACTCGAGTTGTACCAGGAATGTAAGACAACAACGTGGGTGGAGCACACCTATAGACCACCTTGTAGGGAGTCTTCTTTGTGGCGGTGTGCAGGATGGGATTGTAGCAATACTCGGCCCACGTAATCGAACGTGCCCACTCCTTGAGTCTGTCGCTTAAAAAGCACTTGAGGTACATTTCAATTGTACGATTCACCACCTCGGTCTAACTATCGGTCTGGGGATGATAGGCTGATGAGTAGTTGAAAGCAGTGCCCTACAAGTTAAAGAGTTCTTTCCAAAAAACACTTGTAAACACTGGATCTCTATCACAAACAATGGACTTAGGCATTCCATATAATTTTAAAACATGATTAAAAAATATCTGAGCCACCGATGTTGCTGTATAGGGATGGGAGATTGGAATGAAATGGGCGGCTTTGGATAGGCCGTCCACAACGACGAAAATAGTAGTTTTACCATTTGAGTTTGGAAGGCCATCTGGTGATCGGTACTTATGATGAACTGTTGCCCAAGTAAATATTACCACAACTTCTGTACTGCAAGAACCAAAGCCAACATTTCTTTTTCATAAGTGGATAAAAACAAATTTCTACCATGTAAAGCCTGACTATAGAACGTTATGGGTCACTTCTTTTGCATCAACACCCCTCCAATCCTAGCTCCAGAAGCGTCACATTCCACGATGATTTTTTTTGAAAAATCAGGCAGGGCGAGCGTTGGGGATAGCGTCATTGCCATTTTCAACTACTCGAGCGATACCTCGGACTGCGGTTCCCACTTGAAACTATCTTTTTTTTAACATATTGGTTAATGGGGCGGCAATTTTACTGTAATTTTGAATGAATTTTTGGTAATATCTTGTTAATCCCAAAAATCCACGGAGAGCTTTTAATGTTGTGGGCTTAGGCTAGTTGGCCATGACTGCAATTTTTTTGGATCTACGGTCGCACCATCGTGACTGATGAGGTGCCCCAAATACTTCACTTCCTGCTGCTCAAAAGCACACTTCTCTTTTACAAATAACTGGTTAGCCCGTAAAACAGATAGTGCAAGACCAATATGCTTCAAATGGTCTTCCCAATTCTTGCTATAAATCAAAATGTCATCAAAAAAGACCAATATGAGTTTTCGTAGGTAATTTTTTAAAAGATTGTTCATCAAAGATTGAAAAGTAGAAGGGGGCATTCATTAACCCGAAAGGCATTACCAGAAATTCATAATGGCCATGGTGGTGCGAAAAGCGGTCTTCTCAACATCTTCTGGTTGCATGCGAATTTGGTTGTACCCTGACCGAAGATCAAGCTTTGTGAAAAAGGAGGGCCCATGCAATTCATCCAGAAGTTCGTCAATATTGGGTATGGGAAATTTATTCTTCACTGTTGCTGATATAGAGCCCTATAATCGACACACATCCTCCACGAGTTGTCATTTTTTTTTACTAATAGCACCGGTGAAGAATAAGGGTTGTTGCTAGGCTTGATCACCCCATATTCCAATGGCTCGATCACCATATTTTCTATCTCAGCTTTTGATAATATGGGTATCTGTAGGGCCGTATAGAAACAAGATTACTTCCATCTTTCAAAGGGATCCGGTGGTCGTGTGCTCTCTTCAGGGGTAGCTCTTGTGGTTCTTTGAAAATGTCCTCAAACGAGAGTAATAGCTTGCTAAGTTGGCTATTAGAAAATTGATGAGAAAATTTGGATGTAGAATTACCTGGCGTGCCTTTTATAGAAAGTAAATATATCTGCAACAAGATCCCTTCTCCCCTTTTTTTGATGTCCTTGCTAATCTCGTCCATATACACCACCTTATTATCAGTTGATTTCAATCGTTGTAATGAGACTTCTTTTCTATTCAAAGTAAATTCCATCCGTAACTTGGAAAAATCCCATGTGATTGGGCATAACGTGCTCAGTCGCTGCACTCCGAGAACTGCGTCACAACCCTCCAACGGTAACAGATAGAGATCCACCACCAGAGGGATTCCTTGTAGCATCATGCAAACAGCCTTGCAACGTCCAAAACTAGAAAGCTTTTCACCATTGGCAACAACCACTTCAAAATTTCCTTCACTGTTAGAAGTTAGGCCCATTTTCCGTGCAATAGTATTATTCAAAAAATTATGCCTACTACCAGAGTTAATTAGAAAAGTTACCATTTGTTAGCCCAAACTTCCTTGAACACGCATGGTCTCTGGAGCCTTTGCCCCATAAATGGCATTGAGAGAGATTTCAGGTACCTCGTCTGCTGTGTGTATCTCTGCCTCCTCCTCCTCTTCTTCGTCTGGCCAGCTCCCTTCGATGAGGAATAGCTTCTTGCAACGATGGCCAGGGCTAAACTTTTCGTTGCAATTGAAGCAAAGTCCCTTTGCACGTCGTTCGCTGAGTTCTGCTGAAGACTTTTTAATTGGCATGAAAGACCCACTCGAGCTGGACTGGCTGGTGCCGGTTTTCCTTGGTTCGTAAGGCACTGCCTTCTTGGTGTTCAGTTGGCAATGCTCATAAAGGCGGGGAGAGACCTATTGCCGCAGTCAAAGTTGCCGGTTGACAAGCCTGCACATCCATCTTAATACTTTCTTTGAGCCCGCTTATGAAACACCCCATTTGCTGTAATGGTGTTAATCGTCCGGCCTGTATTAACAGACGCTCAAATTGAGTCTGATACTCTCGTACGGAGCCAATTTGCTGTAGCTTTATGAGATCACCAAAAAAATCTTGGAATTGGGTTGGGCCGTAACGTGCATGGAGGCTACTTTTGAACTCATACCAAGAGGCAATCCCACCCTCTTCCTTCATCAACTGGTACCACAATTGAGCATCACCTTCTAAGTTAAATGAGGCAAGGGGAACTCGATCCTCTTCCGGTGTATGATGAAATTCGAAGAACTGAACGACTCTACATACGTAACTAGTGGGGTCTTCTTCTCCATTGAACTTGGGAAAGTCCAACTTGACCATTCACGGAAGGTAGGTTCCAACGGACCCCGAATTGCCATTCGGAAATTGTCCCATATGCTTTTTACCTATGTGGGAAAATTCACCATTTTTGCGGTTGTTCCTCGCTTAATCAAGGCGGGTATTGATTGCAGCGAACATCTGTTGCATGGAGTCCATCTTGTCCTTCAAGCTCCCTATCTTGGACGCCAAACGTTCAATGCATTGATCCGCCATGCCTGACTTTGATACCAAATTGTTATGCGCTTGACTTGCTGAGCGAGTTTGACATTGTTGTTTATTCAAAGTGTTTACATCAAAATCCTAGGCTAGATATCTCAACTCTTGAGACACCCCTTTGTTCTTACTTTTACCTATTTTGAGAAGTACGTTTTACCCAAGATAGAGTATAAGAAGAGATATATGAGAGAAACAATTAGTAGTTTCTTCGAGAGAAACTAAACCTCTTGAAGTGCTGAGCACAAGATATTGACAATTATCCCTTTCTCCCCATTACAATGAGATATTTATATCCCCTTACTAACCCTCTACCACCTCCCTGATTATTCTACCCACAATCCCTATATAATAGGAATGTGACCCGTTACAACAACTACCCAGACATATCATGGAGACCCCATTAGAAACCGTCTACCACAACTCCTAACTGTAAGCAACAGACTCCTAAATACAAGTGAACAATACTACCTAAACAACAGTTGCTCGTGTTAAGCACGAGACTTTATTGAAAAATAAACTAAGCCTGGGAACGTAACACAAGTTGTTCCAGGTTAAAGAGAATTCCTCTAGATTTTGGAATGGGCTCAAGGCTAGGTGATTAGGGTGGTGAGATACCACAACATGATATCTTGAGTTGTCCAAGACTTAGTGACGAGAAGTGTCCAGCAAAAAGTAATATATAAATGTTGCCAATTTGCTGCTCCACCTTGTCAGTGACAATAATATGCTTTAGAATTGAGAATAAGACTAAAAAGTGGGCTGAAATTATGTGGTTCAGAATAAGGAAAATAAAGGTTTTAAAAATAAAATAAAATAATAAAATAGAAGAAGAAAAAGAAGGTTCACCCCTATGTGGTCCTTAGCACGAAAGCATGGATCGAGAGTAAACTAAATCAAATGGAGTTATTTATGATAGTGGGGGGCGGGGTTATTCTTGAACAATACCAAATAATATGTTGGAAATGTGGCTTATTAAGCCCTTTTTTTTATGGGAAAATAGTGATCCAACTAAATAGATCTAGTGTTGATATTGGTTTACAATGGGTGATGAGTATAGGGGGTAATGAGCTGTGGAGTATATAAGATAAATGGTCTAAAAGGGACAGAGTATGGGAAAACTATGATTTTTGGTTAGGGTAGGTTAGATATGAGGGAAAAGTTTTCCAAAATTTGAAGTTAAGGTTCTGAGAGGGGATTTCGGGTCCTTAGGGTTAGGATAGGAAATATAGATTTAGATTATGAAACTATGCCTAAAATAAGATGTAATTGGGTATTATTAAAGGAAATTGCTGGCGTAGGCCCACTAGTCTATAGCTACATATGAGTCCAACGGTCCAGATTGGATCTAGGTTGATCCAATTATCACGATTGCATTTCGTATTTTAATTTTAAATTTTTTATTATAAATCCAAATCACTTGAAATTTTGAGTGTGTGTGCTTTAAAAATAGAAGAATCCAATATATATATATATATATATATAATATTTTATAAAAATTAAATTGACCAAAATACTCCAAAAAAATTTTAAGAGTATTTTGGTTAATTTATATTCTACAAATTATTTTTTAATATTTTTATTAGGTGCGCCTAGATGATAATAATAGACATTTAAAATTTCACGTGATTTGGATTTATAAAAAAAATTAAAATTAAAATTCAAATATGAAATGAGGTCATCAGATCGGTCCTGATTTAATCTAGGCTGTTGGGCTCATATGTAGTTGTAGGCTAGTGGGCCTACGTCAGCATTTTCCATAATTAAATACTTTGTGGATGTTCCATTTGGATCATACAATTCTGATTTAGATTGGGCGATTCAAATCGAGATTACCCATATCTAAGTTTACAAGGTCTTGAATAAAGATAATCCAAATTAGAATTACCAAGTCCAAATCGAGTTAATGGTTGGGTGATCACTTTTTATGGCCATTGGAATCGCTTGATTCCCATCTTTTTTTAATATTATTTTCTATTCGGGCGATCCAAATTGCTCGATTCAGTCAATCCAGATCATGGAAGACCAATCCAAAACCCTTCTAAAATCCAATTCCATGTTTTAAAACACAGAAACTAGAGAGCCGTTTATTTAGTTACAAGTCACTGGTGAAATATCATGACTTTTCAAATTCAATGCACACAATGTGCATTGTTCATTGTAATATGACCCACTTCTGCTTGTGCCCATTCTATGCCTAGTTTGGATGCAATTTAAGTTCTGGTCAATGTGTGGTTAGTGCTCCTATAAAATGTGAAGCTAAGTAGGATGAAACTTTCATTTTTAAGCTTGGTAAAGTTTATATAAGGTTGAGGCCTTAAATTATCAAGTTAAGGTGTATCTCAAATTTCCCCAAAAGTTTTATGTCAAAAAAAACTATCAAATCAATCATCTCGATCTCATGATGTATAGACTTAAAAACATAGCAGTTCAAGTGTGAGAAGTAGTGCATCTTGTAATGCATTATTTGGGCTGTCAATTTTCAATATTTTCAATTGTGTATAGATAGCCTTGATCTACACTAATTTTGAAGCTTTAAATTTTTATAATTAGAAATGAAGATAAATTTTAAGGTCATCACAAAATTTTTTACTTTTGAAATATTATCTTTCAATACTATTTAGAGGTGTGCCTTATTTTGATTTTTTAGGGCCTCAACCTTATACAAACCTCACCCTTTAGCTGTCATCTCACTAATAAAACAATGGCATTTGCCAGAAAATACCAAAATATGATTTTGAAGGCAATGCATTCTCAGCTTTAAGGGGCATCCAATTTACTCAACTTGATGTTGGAAGAGAAGAGTGTTTTTTTTTTAAGATAATTCAATGGGGATGACAAAGCCCTGCCTGTTTTTGAAATCGCTAGTAGTTTTTTAATGTGTTAGGTGAGAACGGAAGCCTAGACCCAAACTAGGGCTCAGGTGGTGCTACTATCATGACCCCAAGTACAAGTGAAATGGGGGGACTTCTAATAAACGATAAAGGACGGACCTACCTATTTTGAGGGCCACAAAGGCATTGTCTCGAGAATATATTGGCCTTGTACTTATTAAAATGAGCATGCAAAAAGTTTGCACAAGGTAACATAGTCTCCAGGATATGGAAAACAAAATACTTCAATACAATTCCGATATTTAATACACTAAAATAGCAAATAAAAAATGTACATGTGTTACCTTGATTTCTATAGAGAAAAAAAATAAAATAAAATAGGAGTCAAATCAAGAAAAAGTGTATATCAATGGGCAACCGGACCCTATTTATGGAGTGAAAGAGTATATAAAGAGATCATTTACTTTTAATATAAGGAGGTCACAATTACTCTTGCCCATCTAATTTCAAATCAGGTGGTTGTGAGTGTGGTATTGTCTAGACCCAAAGTTCAAAAAAACGATTGAACAATGTTTAGATCCCAAGCAATCCAATGTTTGACATCTAATAGCTATGAGCAATTGTGACCTACTTATAACAAAGAAAAATAGTCTCGTAGTCTACAATCCCATAGTGGCAAAAGAAGGTGGCTTTTCAAGTTAAGAGTTGTGACATTTTACTAGTTGGAGTAACGGTTTTCTTATGGCTATAATAGTCGCTACTTATTAAAAGCCCAACTACACTTCTTTAACACTAATAAATTGTCACAACCATCACACCTCATCCAATGACTGAAAATGTAACAATCCTAAAATTTCAAAAAAAAAAAAAAAAAAAAGGAGAAAAGATACTTTTAAATAGGTGATGGTC